AAAGGAGCGAAGGCCCAGTCCGTGAGACAGAGCCGAGGAGCATGCTGAGACTCTGAGCCCATGAGACAGAGCAGCAAGTGGGCTGCCTGGCCCATGGGGACGGAATCCTAGGGACCACAAGGGTAAGAGGTTGAGGACGAGAGCGCGATCTGGCTGCTGGCTGAGAAGACGTGTTGCTGGGGACTAATAACTGTATCCTTAATGGTTTTTGAATTTTTTAAAACATTATTTTATTGGGGGCTCGTACAATTCTTATCACAATCCACCCATCCATCCATTGTGTCAAGCACGTATGTACATTTGTTGCCATCATCATTCTCAAAACATTTGCCTTCCACTTTAGCCCTTAATATCAGTTGCTCATTTTCCCCTCACTCCCCACTCCCCCCTCCCTCATGAACCCTTCATAATTCATAACTTATTATAGTTTTGTCATAAGTTACACTGTCCGACGTCTTCCCCCGCCCTCTTCTCTGCTGTCCCTCCCCAGGGAGGAGGCAATACTTAGATTCTTGTAATCGGTTCCCCCTTTCTACCCCACATTCCCTTCACCCTCCAGGCCTCGCCCCTTTCACCACTGGTCCTGAAGGAGTCATCTGTCCTGGATTCCTTGTGTTTCCAGTTGCTATCTGTACCAGTGTACATCCTCTGGTCTAGCCAGATTTGTAAGGTAGAATTGGGATCATGAAAGTGTGGGGGGGGGAGCATTTAAGAACTAGAGGAACGTTCTATGTTTCATAGTTGCTGCCCTTTACGCTGATTGGTTCATATCCTCCCCACAACCCTTCAGCAAGGGGGTGTCCAGTTGCCTACCGATGGGCTTTGAGTCTCTACTCTGCACTCACCCACCTTTACAATGACATGATTTTTGTTCCTTGATGCTTCATACCTGATCCCTTCGACAGCTCATGGTCACACAGGCTGGTGTGCTTCCCCCATGTGGGCTTTGTTTCTTCTGAGCTAGTTGGCCGCTTGTTTATCTTCAAGTCTTTAAGACCCCATATCTTTTGATAGCCGGACACCATCAGCT